CCTCTTAAAATTCAGAAGTGAATTCAGACTTCAGACTTCAGCATCTCTTAAAAAACAAACGCCACCTAAGTGTTTATCGATTTCACTTACTTTACTGATTGAGCACCGCAATAACCGAGAACCTTACCCAGTAAGAAGCATAGCAAAGATCAAGAGTGTTTCCTGGTAATATAAGTAAAAAGGAAAAAGGTTCTTACCTGATAAGCGCTTAGCAAGTTTAAGAACATTACCAACAATCTATTTTATGGCCGAGAATGTTACACGATAAGGTAAGTAAGGGTGATGTATCTGGTAGTAAGCGATTACACGGTAATTCACTGCTTGGTAAACGACATCTAAAATTAGTTAGAATCTTAAATGACATCCATTAAGCAAAGATATATAGCTAGCTTTAGCAGTATGATGTCTCGTTAGTTCAACCATGTTAATTAACTTATTCAGCTGTTCCGAATGAAATTAATTAGCAAATTTCATCATCATTGACAATATTTCTGAGAAAACCCTATCTGTTTTTTAATAATAATTGTTTACCGTTTTCAAGCATGAGGCTTGGAAAAGCATCAAGATTGGTTTCGATGCCATAAACGTAGATGATAATTATCGATGATCAAGTAACGTAAATCCCTTATTTTTAGGGAAAAGTCCAAAAATACTAACCATGGAGCTTTTACATTTTGGGTGATTAAATATGGATTTCTTTTTAAAAATAAATAAATAAATCCTTAAACATGTTAAAATTAAACCGAAAAAATCCAACAAATTTTCATATTTCGAATGGTACATGACTAGACATTCTTTTTTCAATAAATAAATTGTTACATTAAAACAAAAAAAATGTCACTTCTATAAATCAATAAAAGATAATACCATTTTCATCATCCATATTTATTTTTCAAATGAGAATCGTACGATAAAAGCAATAGCATTAAGAAAAACAAGAAAGTGATTGTCGGATACAAATGAAAACCACATGATCATAACAAACAATTGCGATTGTCATTTGAATTTGAAAAAAAAAGTTAATGGTTGATAAAAGATGATGTATTTTTCGTTTTTATTGGTTCATTGTATTTTTACTACTCATTTGGGAATAAATGAAAAAAGAAATAGTATATTTCTTTTTTTATAAACGTAATAATTTATTCGTTCAAAAAAATGTTCGATCAAGGACTTATCTTAATTAATCTCGCAACATATGAAAGTTCGTTGGGTTTTAGTCACCTCAATGATTAATTTGTTCGATTTCAAAAGTTTTAAGGATTTATTTACTGATTTATCGTACATTTAAAGATTTATTTCTTCAAAAAATTTATTTAGGAATTTGACCACTTAAAAAGCAAAAGCTTGTTGAATTTTATTAAACTTCTCTCTTACTTTTATGCTTGGTTTTCATCTATATTTATATACTTGTGGCATTCCATGAAACCATTCAATCATTTCTCTTTCTCACCATCAAGTTTTAAAGAATTTTCTAAGCTTGTAGCATTTTCATCTTTTCTCTATTTTAAAAAAACAAAAAGTTGATTCTCTCTATTTAAGAGAAACAGTTGGAGTTGTTTTAAGCTAGTTTATTGAAATGTTACTTAAAGTAACGTTTTATGAGTTTTTTGGAGTTTTCAATTATAACTCTCATTAATTTTTATTGTTATTTATTACTATTAATTATAAATAAATAATATTAAAAATTAATTACTATTAGTATTAATAAATACAAATTAATATTAATTGAAAGCTATTAATTAATTTTAATTATACAGTATACATTAAAATTAATTACTAATTATTTAAAATTATTATTAATCATACCAATTATTTTTATACTATTGTTTTTTAAGTCAAATTCTATCCATACCCACTTTACTAAAACTTATTAAAGTTTTTTATACTCTACTGATAACTCTTATTTTTTAGAGTTATTTTTTATCTATTTTCTTTCGCTTTTGCATGTATTAAATATCTAATTTTCTTGTTTTTCCTGTTTATTCTAAAAGCTTTAAAAAGATAATGAAACACAAATGATGAGAATTTTTCCAAAAACCATCACTTTGAGATAATGCCCATAGTGTTACCACAGTGGAAAGTTTTCGAATTTTGGATTTATTCAACTTTTGGAGGATATTTTCTTGAAGATCTTTGTAAAAGATATTCTATAGCTAGCTGTCCTGGAAAGTTGAGTTTTGGATTAAAAAAGAATGTTGGATGGATCTCTATTCACAAGATATTTGAAGGCTCCATTTCCTTTGGTTAATGAAGATCACTCTTATCCACTCATCCCCTGTATAAAGAAACCAAGGGTTCATTTGAAGTTCATCTCTATTTAACACAACTCAACTGAAGTCTCTCTACTTCTATCATTAAGTTAAGTTTTAACATTTAATTTTCTTATATTAAGCTTCTTGATTGTAATCTGCTGCCCGCAAACTTACCACTGTGGCGACATGCTTTTGTTCTATTTTAATGAAAGTTACATTTAAGTTCTATTTTTTGTCTTATATTACGATTTCCATGTCTATTATGAGCTAATTCCTTCTACGAGTGTCGGTGTGAGTTAACTTAAGATTTTTATGCAATAATTGTGTGTTTTTATTCTTTACCACTTCGTAAACTTGGTCACTTAAGTCGGGACTAAAAATCAATGTGGATAAGCCGATCAGTTTGAAGTATTAATATTAAATCTTTGACCCAGAGATGCGCGGATTCGAAATACAGCTTAAGTGATGCACAAGGAACTTGAGAAAGTCTTTGATAATTACGTAGAGATACAAATTTTTTATGTATTTAGCTATGGTTCAAACATTGTAGATTTGTATTTCAAAGAGATTTGAGTGTCAATTTCAATTTTTTTTCTTTTTAGCTAAATCAACAAGCTTCTGAGTGGTGAGAGTGGGAACTTCGTAGGATCTGTTTATAAACCTTCACTTTTGAGAGATTGGAATTTTTACAAACATATCATAAGTTTTTAACCATTATATTGTTGTTTTTATCTTAAGGAATACTACACACATGCCCATATTTTATTTACAAGTCTATTTCATCTATTTTGTCTTTTAAAACTTTTTATCAACAAAAATCCAACTTTTTTTCACAAACTGAAACATGCACAAGAAGTTCATGAAACTCTCTGATTCTCAGTAGTTCAATTTTTGTGAAAAAGATCTCGGTATTTTACCACTCTATTACTTGCAAGCGATCATAGTGTTGGCGTGCATTTGCATCGCTACTATGGGGACTTTGTGGACACTGTATGAATATGCACGATTCATAGCTACCAAGGTTTTGGCACCACTGTCGGGGATTGACGTGATTTTATTCTGAGATATTGACTTTGATTTGAGCATTAGTTTTTCGTTTCATTCACACTTTCCGTGTTATATGTCACGGCTACAACATGATGAACTTTTACCTCTCAATCTTAAATTAGAAAGAACCATTAGATTGGCAAAATTCCAATTTAAACCGTACCATGGGGGATAATCCACCACCACCTCCTCGGGAGGTAATGGTTAAAATTGTCGATGATAAGACTAGAGGAATACGGGACTACACAACTCCTGAATTAAGTCAATTGGATGCAGGAATAGATAGATCCGAAATGATAGCAACAAGTTTTGAACCAAAACCAGTAATTTTTCAAATGATTTCTGTAATGGGTTAGTTTGGGGGATTATCGTTGGAAGATCTGCACTCTCATTTAAAATCTTTTATAGAAATGATGGATCATTTTAAATTTATAGAGTCACACAAGAAGCCTTATGCTTGACACTTTTCCTTTATACATTAAAGGATAGAGCTAGAGCATGGCTAAATTCTCAGCCACCAAACTCGATCGTCACTTTGAATGATTTGGCGGAAAGTTTTCTAAAAGAATACTTTCCTCCAACAAGGAATGTGAAACTAGAAATGAACTTATGATATTTCGTTATGATGAGGATGAAACGGTTTCAGACGCATGAGAGAGATTCAAGGACCTTCTACGGCGGTGTCCTCATCACGGAATCCCTCATTGTATTCAATTGGAAATATTTTATAAAGGACTTTCCAGTGCCACTAAAATTATTCTTGACTCAACGGTCGGTGGAGCTTTCACAGCTAAAACCTATAAAGAGGGGTATGCCATTTTGGGGAAAATTTCTAATAATAATACTGAATGGTCAAACCCTCGTGCTATTTTTTCTAAATCTGTCTCGGGCATTCATGAACTTGATGCCATCTCTTCTTTAAATGGTCAAATTGTAGCTTTAACTAATTTGGTTAAAAAAAATTTAGAATTAAATGGGGAAAAGAATCAAGTCCAATCTATAATGTCTAATCCATCTATGATCGAATCTTGTGTCTTTTGCGGTGAGGGTCATTCTTATGAATATTGCCCCCAAAACCCCGTCTCGGTAAATTATGTTCAAAGTCATGTTAGAAATAGTCCATTTTCTCCCACATATAATCCAAATTGGCAAAATGACCCTAATTTTTCATGGGCCGAAAAATCCTGGACTTCAACCCGCTGGGGCAACCCAAGTCTAAAATCGGCCACCAAATCCCCCGGAATTTGGGCATGGTGCTCCTCACAATTACCACAATGGGCAACCCTCATAATCACACTTACCTATGTAATGGTTCACTCAAATCATTACTCAAAAGTTTTATAAACCAAACCAATGCAACGTTAAGAAGTTTTGAAACTCAACTCGACCAATTTGTCGCTGATCTCAAAGGTAGACCTTTAGAACCTTTGCCTAGTGATACGGAAACCTCTAAGGGTATGGAACATATCAAATTCGTAACTGTACTAAGTGAGGATAGATTAAGAATTAATAGTCACACAAATGAAGCCTTCAAAAAACCGACCCATCTAAACGAGATTTTCACACGCTTTTGATAGGTCAAAATTTCCAATTTTGAGTCCTCCGAGTAAAGAAACTCAAAATCCAACTTCTGTTTAGAAAACAGGCCTTGCATCCACATTTAATACTGAACAACTCTCATCTCAGACTTTCCACGGTGGGAAGATTGTTCCCGCTCTCCAGCAGAAAAAGTCTAATCAACCAGCTCCAGATTTGCAAAATTTAGCTTTTCTGGAAAGAATGAAAACCAAAAATGTGGAAGAGCAATTTAAGAAGTTCTTGGGCATCTTTAAGCAACTTCACATTAACATACCTTTAGTAGAAGCTTTTGAGCAAATGCCAAGTTATGTTATATTTTTGAAAGACATTTTAAATAAAAAGAGAAGGTTGAACGAAATTGAGACGGTCGCTTTGACCAAAAAATGTAGCGCACTCCTTATTTGCAAAATTCCTTCCAAGCTTAAAGACCCAGAAAGTTTTACCATCCCATGTTTTATAGAAGGAAAAGAAGCAGGTCATGCCTTATGTGATTTAGGGGCAAACATAAATCTTATACCATTGTCAATTTTTTAACAAAATTGGAATAAGAGAAGTTCGTCCAACTACCATGATTTTACAATTGGCGAATAGGTCCATTGCTTATCACAAGGGTAAGATAAAAGACATTTTGGTCCAAGTCAATAAATTTATCTTTCTGACCAATTTTCTAGTGTTGGATTATAAAGCTGATAAAAGTGTCCCAATCATTTTAGGTCGACCATTTCTTGCAAACTAGAGAACATTAATTGATGTATAAAAAGGGGAGTTAACCATGAGAGTAAGTAATCAGGAAGTGAAGTTCAATGTATTTAATTCTCTTAAGTTTCATGAAGAAGTTGAGGATTGTTCAAATATATGTTCTCTAAGGGTGCGTTTGGTACGCTGGACAGGGTGGGACAGGACAGAACAGAACACATGTGTCCTACGTTTGGTATGACTAAATGTGGAACTAAGTAGAACTAACTTGCACAAGCGTTGGACACGGGTGTTCCACCTACACCCCTGGAACTAAGTAGAACTCAACTATTTTTCCCTCTATACCCTTTTCCCAGCCGGCTATCGCATGAAACAGACATAACCCTCATCGCCTCCATCGCTTCTCCCCATCGACGGCGACATCWTCTCGAYGGCGAGCTCCAATCGACGGCGACCATCTCTTCTCGCCGGCGAGCTCCAATCGACGGACGGCGACCCCTGGTTTCTCCACTGTTCATCGCCTCCATCGCTTCCTCCCCATCGACGGCGACATCTTCTCGATGGCGAGCTCCAATCGACGGCGACCATCTCCTCTCGCCGGCGAGCTCCAATCGAAGGACGACGACCTGGYTTTCGCCACTGTTCATCGCGACCTGGTTTTCGCCTCTGTTCATCGCGACCTGGTTTTCGCCACTGTTCATCGACGACCTAATCCAATTCACTCTCAAAACTGCATCGCCCCCTAAAAAAGGTATGTTCTTACCACAAATTGTAGCTGTTCATCGCCTTTCTTGATTTATTACTTCAATTTGGACATGAGTTTTGTTTTGCATCAAAATCTATGTTGATTTTGGGGCTTATTTCTTAGAACAGTGGAAGGTTCATGTTCATGGGTTTTGTTTTGCATCAAAATCTTATTTCTAGGTTGCTGTATTTGTTAGGTTGCCGTATTTGCTGTATTTGTTGTGGCAACCATGGCAACCATAGTTTCATCTTCTGCCATTTGTTAGGTTGCTGTATTTGTTGTAGTTTGTAGTTGCTGTATTTGTTGTAGTTTGTAGTTAGCATAAACATCGATTAGGTTGCCGTATTTGTTGTTGCTGTTTGATCACATGTTTAGCATAAACCTCGATTAGGTTGTTGTTTCTATTGCTGTTGCTGTTTGATAGAATCTATTTTAGGTTTGCTGTTTGTTGTTTATATAAACCCAAACACCTTGCTGTTTCTATTGATTTTGTTGTTTCCTATTGCTGTTAATTGTTGTTGGTACTTATTAGGGCTGTAGTGGTAGTAGGACCAGTGTTACCAGAATGCATTTCGTAGTGAAAAAACACTAAACAGCTCACTGGGGGGTAAATTGGTCATTTTAACCAGTTCTGTCCTGTCCTGTCCTGTCTTACCAAACGCTGAACAGCTGTCCTGTCCTGTCCTGTCCTGTCCCGTCCCGTCCTGTCCTGTCCAGTCCTGTCTGCGCACCAAACGCACCCTAAGTGAAGATCTAGAGTTAAGTTTGACTGACTCTCCCCACAGTAGTGACATTGGGGAAGTATTTGAGGACATAATGGAGGAAAAAAATTGAATTGGAAGATTTAGTTGTATTTGAACAACTTGACTTTAAAGATAGAACTAACCCACCCATAAACAAGCCCCAGAGTTAGAATTAAAGCCACTCACTAGTCAACTTGAGTATGTTTATCTTATGGAGAAGGAAAAATTACCAGTAATTATTTCTTCAAAATTAAGTAATGAACAAGAATTAAGGTTGATAGAAGTGTCGAAAACTCACAGGAGAGCTATAGGTTGGACCATTGCCGATATTAGGGGTATTAGTTCATCTCTTTTCCAACAAAAGATAATTTCGGAAGAAAATAGTGTTGGAAAGATGAAACCATAAAGAAGATTAAATCCTATCATGAAGGAGGTCGTTAAGAAAGAAATTTTGAAGTGGTTGGATGTGGGTATCATATACCCCATTTCTAGTAGTGGTTGGGTGAGTCCGGTACAATGTGTACCAAAGAAAGATGGAACCACGGTTATCACCAATGACAAAAACGAGCTCATTCCTATTAGAACCTTCACCAGATGGCGGATTTGCATGGATTATAGACAATTAAATTTAGCTATAAGAAAGACCATTTTTCTTTACCCTTCATTAATAAAATGCTAGATAGATTGGCCAGAAAGAATTTTATTGCTTTTTGGATAAATATTCGGGTTACAACCAAATTCACAATGCACCGGAGTACCAAAAGAAAACTACTTTCACTTGTCCTTTTGAAACTTTTGTCTTTTGGCGTATGCCATTTGGTCTATGTAATGCATCAACTACTTTCCAACGTTACATGATGTTAATTTTTTTGGACATGATTGAAGATGCCATTGAAATATTAATGGATGACTTTTTAGTTATTGGCACATCTTTTGAAAATTGTCTTGTCCTGTCAATTTAAGGAAAAGTTTGGAGAGATGTGAGACTCATGATCTAACTTTAAATTGAGAAAAATGTCATTTTATGGTACAAGAAGGAATTGTTTGGGTCACATGGTTTCTAAAGTTTGGAGGTTGATAAAGCAAAAATCGAGGTCATAATGCAATTGCCTGAACCATCTTCAGTCAAAGGCACTCGTAGTTTTTTTTGGGACATGTGTGCTTTTACCATAGATTTATTGAGGATTTCTTAAAAATTGCAAAACCCTTATGTAATTTATTGCATGTTGATCAATCTTTTGAATTTACCTCTGAATGCAAAAAGGATTTTGAAACTATCAAAACAACTATTGTCTCGACACCTATTGTCATTACCCAAACTGGACCATACCTTTTGAGGTTATGTGTGATGCAAGTGACTGGCTCGTAGGTGCCGTTTTAGGACAAAACGAAACAAGATTTTCCACTCCATCTACTAAGCAAATAAAACTTTGGTGGAGGCCCAATTAAATTATACCACCACAAAAAAGGAATTACTTGCGGTAGTTATTGCCTTCGATCGTTTTCGATCCTACTTAATTGGCACTAAAGTCACCGTGCATACGGATTGGTTCGTCATCAAATATCCCTTTAATAAAGGCGATGCTAAACTAAGGCTTATTAGATGGGTTCTTCTTTTACAAGAATTTGATTTAGAGATTGTTGATCGCAAGGGATGTGACAATCAAGTAGCCGATCACATCTTAAGAATTGAAGACAAAGTTTCAAGTGAAGGAAATCATGAGATAAAAGAAATTTTTCCTGATGAATATTTTTTGGCAATTCAACACAATTTTCAAAATGAAATTTCATGGTATGTTGATATTGCCAATTATCTTCCTTGTGGTCTTAAGTCATATCATTTTCAAGGACATCGTTTTAAAAAGTTACTTCGTGATTGCAAACATTACTTGTGGGATGATCCATTTCTTTACAAAATGGGAGCAAACCAAGTTTT